TTTGACCCATACAATGTATTTTTGGCTATTGCTACAAATATACCCCAGCAACTTAAGACTGGTTTTGTGGTCCAGGGTCACATATTTGCATCAAATACTGAAATGATATATATTTATTTTTAATAAAATGTTTCATAATTTAATATGTGTAATTATTTTTTAATATTTTGTATTTTATAATTTATATTTACTTTATAGATTAAATATTTTAAATAGATTTTAAAAACAAAATTACCATCATATTATTTTGTATTAATTTAGATAATAATAATAATAACAACAACATTTTATGTAATAAATAGATGTACTGCAAATGTAATAAATTTAATCATATAAAATTTGATATATATGTATTAATAGATTAAGTATTTATAATTCTTTAAATAATCATTTATATAAATGTAAATGTACATATACATTTTAAGTTAAAAGATATATACATTTTAAGTTAAAAGATAGATAGATAGATAGATAGATAGACAGACAGATAGACAGACAGACAGACAGGCTGATAGACAGATAGACAGATGTCTCTTTTTTTCTGACAGCAGCATAAACTTAACAAATTTGTGTAAAATCTGATGATCATGTTCTCAGCATTATTTGAGAAGGATACAATGGAAGCAAGAACATCTGACATTTGGACAAATGTTCACATGATCAGTGTCACAATTTTTGCATTTCATTAGTGACAAAGATCATGCGATTACATTTTATGTAATTGTCTATTTAATTTAATCTATTGTCATCCCTAATATAAAACAGTCATGAGGATGAGAGTCGCTGCAGTACCTGTCTCCGCAGGGCTCTGAAGGCATTGCTAGATCTTGCTCTTTGATTTAGAGGATGGGGAGCAGGAGCGGCAGCCAGGTTTGTCTGAGATGCAGTTCCTGGAACCTGCATTACGACACTATCTTCACAGGGCTGGGTGCCGAGTGAGAGAGAGGAGCCTGAAGAATACACAAACAGCTTTAGTCATATTCTCTCTCTGCACGTGTGCCATGACCAGTAAGAACTGGTTTGGTTTTGTCACCTGGTAGTGTGGAGTCCTGTTTGGAGATTCTCTCATGAATGGACCCATATACAGGCTTAACAGGATAGAGCATGTAACTGTCATTAGGTAAGGACAGCATCCGTGATATAGACGGCCTACTAACTGTCAGGAAGTTGCCGTAACTGGGGTCTTGGCCCTGTGAACACAACAAATCTATATTATGTGCTTTAACAGTTATGTTTCCCCCTGCATATCCATATTAAAAACCCTGCAAAAATATTGTTATTATTATTATTTAAATAACATATTCAATATATTTTTTATTTAATATAATACATGTCATGTACTCCAATAAAAAATAGACTGGACCACTTTAAAATTTAACCTCTAAATTATGCAAAAAAAAATTCCTATATAAAATTATGCAAATAAAGAACAAATATAAAAAATATTTATTATTTTCAAAAAGTTATTTAAAAGGGATATTTCCTTTTTTAAATTCATTATAAAACATTTTAAATTCAATGCATGGAAGGCAGATTAGTGGCATCCGGTGGGAGAAATAAAGAAAATCATATTTAATACCATAGTGTAACCACTAGATACCTGTATAGCCCTATAGAGGGCTGTGTATTCCCTAGTAGTTTATAAGAGCATTTTCTGGCATATATATATTAAAAACTATCAAAGACTATTTTGTTGTGGCTGATTTGTAGATTGTAATTTCATTTCCTAGGGTGGTCATTTTTCACATCAAATGTGAGGTTATATTTTAAGACCATTTAGCCTTTTCTAATCAATTTCACCAAAGAGTTTTTAAATACAGTAAACTTTCAGATTTTTTTCTCTAATCGTAAACATTGCTAAAATACATTTAGCATTACTCTAATAACTCTAATAATATCTATTAAATATATGGGGAGGGGGTTCCTTGGTATAATATTTTCAAGAGTACAGTGGCTTTATGTATAGAAGAATTATAAAAGAATGTACAGAACTGACCTGTTCATGTGAGAGAGTCTCCATTTGAACAGCTGTACCCTCAAGCCCGATGGCTCCGCCCACAGAGGCGGTGCTTTGTCTACGAATGCCATGAAGCTCTTCCTTCAACTCCGCCTCCATCTCGGCCTCCTCACGGGCATCTTTGTTACTCTCCTCTAAATGTTTCATGAGCACAGCGACCACAACATTCACCAGCACAAACTGTGCCACTAGCACGAATGTCACAAAGTACAGAGGCGACAAAAGCGGCAGGTAACTCAGACATCTGTCATTTTTACATTCCCGCAGGGTATCCTAAACACACACACACACACACACAAAAACACAGAAATTGTGAGTTCTGCCAAGCTCAAAAAGTGACAAGACCTGATCATTTACTGTGTGTGGGAAACAAATAATCTTTTTGACAGCTAATAGCCTCACTCTTAAACATCTGGAATGACACGAGGGTGAGTGTAAGTCTAATTAAGAGCTAACATTAAATATCAGCATTCCATAAACAGGTATTTATGACATGCATGAATAGTTTCATGGTTTGCAAAATACCTTCATGATTCCATTCCAGTTGTCTCCGGTGGAAACGCGGAACAGAGTGAGGAACGCCATGCCAAAGTTCTGAAATGTAGCATGTCTGCTCAATCCCTCACACGGGTTGTCCTCAGTGCATTCTGATTTAAAAACAATTCATTTGAATACTTTATCCAAAATATACGTTTATTTGTTTTATGTAACAATAAGCACTACTGTTGAGTAGTGTGAGATATTTTGTACTGAATTAATACTTTTATTTAGCTAAGATGTATTAAATTGTTTAAAAGTGAGACTTAATTATATTTGTAATGTTACAAAAACATTCAAATAAATGCTGTTCTTTTGAACCTTTCTATTCTATTCAAGTAATTTTTTGGTCTCCACAAACATATTGAGGAACACAACTGTTTTGAACATTGACAGTAATAGAAAATGTTTCTTGAGCAGCAAATCAGCATATTAGAATCATTTCTCAAGGATCATGTGACACTGAAGCCTGGAGTAATTGCCATCACAGGGATAAATTACATTTTAACAATTTAAATAGTAATAATATTTCACAATATTACAGTTTTTACTGTATTTTTGATTAAATAATTCAGCCTTGGTGAAATAAGAGACTTTGTTTTGAAAAAGATAACAGGAAATGAAAAGTATACCAACCAAGCTTGCCAAAGAGTTCGACTCCCAGTGCTGCATAGATGAAGAACAGCAGCATAAACAGCAGACCCAGATTACCGACCTAGAGAACCAGAACATCACCAGAATAAAGCCACATAAACATACATCATAATCTGTGAAGTAATTCCACAATAACAATGGATATAGCACGTGACATATGAACTCACTGACCTGCGGTAAAGCTTGAACTACTGTATCCAGAAGAGATCTCATTCCTGTGGCCATCTTCAGCAGCTTCAACACTGAAAGGGAATTTAATATCACATTTCATTCCTCTTTGAATCTGTGACGAGTGGGGGCGGGGCCGAGAGCCGTGGGAACTGAGCGAGGCCGGTGGAGTAATTGATAATGAGCGACACCTGCACCACTCACCGGTCTCGAGTCCCACGGAGGAGCTCCGGAAGGATAAAAGGAGGAGTTACGACAGTGGAAGACGAGAGAGGACCAGGCCTTGGCTTTATTTTGTGTTTTGGTTCTGTTTGTGCGCGACAGTCGTCCGCGAGGGGCTGTCATGCTGTTTTGTGTTTATTTTATTATTAAAGTTTTGTTTAAATGTTCGCCGGTTCCCGCCTCCTTCTTCCCGATCTACAAACGTTGTTACAGAATCATTTAGACATTACTTGCCACAAACCCAAACTGTACTGAATATATTACTTTTGTACTGGAAAGAATTTTACTGACCCCAAACTTTTGAATGGTAGTGTAAATAAATTTTTTTTAAAGGGGTCATGGTGCATGTAGCATCGGATGACCCCTTTAAATTTCCCATTGCTAAAAATGCTGGAAATGTCTCTTCTCTCTGGCACATCTTATAAGACCCTGTTTTATTTCTCACTTGTCACGGCTGGTGTGTGTGTCTGTCTTCGTGTATTTGGTACCTCTGGCGATGCGCAGCACCCTCATTATGCGTATGATGGTTGGGTTGATGGGTAGTGAGGCATTCAGGTCAATTTCCTCAAGTGTGATGCCCATGATGGAGAGAAGAACAATTGCCAAGTCTAACTGATTCCACCTGACAAAAAAAAAAAAACAATGAGATAAAGCCAAGGTCCTGTGAGACCATTTAATATTCTTGAAAAGAGCTAAACTTGACCATTAGAGACTGTCAGAGGAAAGGTCTTTCTTTAACACTTTCTTTCTTTCTGGAACACGAATGAAAGACAATGGAAGATAATGTTAGCACCCCGTATTTTTAATTTATAAAGAGGAAAGTTATTAATTTATAGACTTTTTGGCCTATTTTTCTCTGTCTCAACGTCACAGGATGTGTCACAATGGTGTCTCATAATTATTCATGAGTCTGCATGGCCTCATCTTATGAGAAGGCCTTGTCTCATTATTATTCATGACACTATGTGACCTTTCTTTATGATAGGCACTTCAAACAGTGAGTTGATACCATTTTGGAACATGGTTCGCAGGTATTCGCGTTTGCATGACATGCAATGCTGACAGAGTGACAGGATTTCAATCAAAGACTGATGCATTTGAAATATTTGTGTAACAATCATTTTTTATAGTAAGGTTTGGAGAAACATTGAGGCTCAAGATGCAGTTTTGAAACAAGACGCAGTTTGACACTCATAGTGTCGGCATCACAGACACCATCTGTCCTCACAGACTCACTTTAACACAAAAGTTGTTAATAATGTAAAAGCACATTCACATAAATTTTTATGATGAGTGCAAATTGTCCCTGTATTTATTTGTAATAAATCACAGATAAAGATGCATATTTATTTGAAATATAATTTTGTTGTAACAATGTAAAAGCCTTTACTGAGAGAAAGATATGCATTTTTTCAATAAATTAATGTTTATTCAGCAAAAATGCATTAAACTGATCAAACATGACACTAGACATGTATATTGTTACAAAAAATTACATTAAAAAAATAATGCTGTCATAAAAACTATTCATCAAAGAATACTGAAAAAATGTATCACTGTTTCCACAAAAATAATTAGACTATTTTTATTTTTGTGTTGTATTTTCAAATAATCAAATAAATTAGGCCTTGCTGATCATAAAAATCTTCTTTCAATACATTAAAAAAAATCCCTAAACTTTTGAACAGTAGTTTATATTAATGCATTTAGTTGTGAACTGCCTTTAAAGCGAAACAAAACTGATTGCAGTTGTTTTCTCCTCATTTCGTGAAATCCATGAGAACAGATCTATGCTGAAATGTCAATTTAAGAATACTACCGACTAGTGAAATTACAGTCTAGAAAATATACTGTATTTCTGCACAGTGTCCACATGATGGAGCCTTACCTCTCTTTGAAAAACCTCCTAAAGCCAAAGGCAACCAATTTCAGCACAGCCTCGATCACAAAAACCAGCGTGAAGAAATAATTACAGTACTTCAAACCATCATCCAGATACTGAGAAACACAGATACAGATAGTCAGACACATAGAATATTAAACTTGAATTCAACAGAAATGTAAAACTGACCATTTATTTATATGATCCTGGTCTTATAATGAATGATGCATCAGTCATTTAGTAAAAAATATGTCTGTCAAAATCTTTCATCAAAATTTAATAAATTGCTATGCCTCAGAAATAACTTTCCTTTCCGGTTAACATCACAAGTTACGTAACTCCCACTTTTCATGATCCAAACAGTTTCTGATGCATAAATCTATATTAACTATATAACTATATTTGTTTATACTGAATACTGTTTCACTCTGAAATATGTCCGATTATGGAAGTAAAGTAGGTGTGAACAAGTGTTGTTATTGCTAACTAATATATATATATATATATATATATATTGTATAGAATGAATAAAAACAAAATTTATTAAATTTATTAAAACGAATAAAAATACTAAAACACAAAAAAAATTACTAACAATTTAACTAAAATTAAAATTACATGGAAAATATAAAAACTAATTTTAAATATTAATAAATGAATATAGTATAATATAGTCTATTATAAGATAGTATAGTGTTCATCTCAGTAGTTTAGTAGCACACTGGTGTGCCATTTTTTGTTGACTTAAAACATGCAATGCTAAAATACTGATATCATTTTTTCAAACAGGTTTTTGTTAACCTATTAATAGTGTCACTGCCCCTGCAGAAGTGATGTCTGTGTGTGTGTGTGTGTGTGTGTGTGTAATACACCAAACCTTGGGTTGTCTGTAGTGCTCCATTGACATCGTGAGCACATTAATGGCGATGATGATGGTGATGAAGAGGTCCAGATAATGGCTAGTGCAGAGTGTGTGAATAAAGAGGCGTGTTGGAGAGTAGTCTGCATAGTACGGCCTCTGCAGGGCCTCTGGAAGACAAAAACACACAGAGAACAATAACACCTTCATAAGGGTGTATTCAGGTCATTCAGGTACACACACACACACACACACACACACTCATCTTGTATCACAGGATGTTGTGAATATCCTCAGCCAACATTTTAGGTTTAAAAATGTCGGTTTTGTAATGCAGCTTTGAATTGAAATGAATACATGTTAATATTCACAAGATTTGCCAGGTTTCGTTGAACATAACTCAAGGGCAGGATGTGTGTTGTTAGTTTACTGTATAGGCTACTTTGTTGTCCCTGTCAAACACAAGCACACTGACCCAGTTTTTGTCTGGCCAGTAAACTGCTAACAAAGTAGTGTGTGTGTGTGTAGTCACAGTTAGCAAACAGTCGAGTCATCTGAGGGACGTTGTAAATGTCCAGCCAAGCGTCCCCCCACATCCATCATGGCTCAAGACTGCTCAAGGTGTCTTTGAGAGAAGCTTTGTGAGCATTTGAGATAGATAGAGAGAGAGAGAGAGAGAGAGAGAGAGCAAGTGATGTCTTGAGACAGCTAACTAATTCAGTTTCCATTTCAGGTATTCTTATAAAAAGTACTGTGGCAGTACCAGGGTAAACTGATGGTATATGATATATACTACGGCACTGTGAATATTGCTTACTTATGTAAAACTCACCGCCTTGATGCTAGGAAGATGTGAGTGTCTTTTAGCATTTTGCCACATGGTTGATGGGGCATTCTGGGATGCATTTGCGAGTGTTATGAATAAGTTGCTAAGACAGTTGCTTATTGTCCCAAAAGAGCCCAATATTTTGACCCATAAACATGGCCCCTAAATATGCGAACTACATGAAATACTAGGCCTGGGTAAAAAATATGGATTTCTTGATTTTAATCGATTTTCATTTTCACGAAACGATATCGATTCTTAAATCGCAAGAATCGATTAGTCTAGCCTGTTTTCAGTTAATGGACGGAACATTGTAGCGCGCCTCCCATCCAAATACATTGAAATAAGCTTTGTGCTTTGCTATTTTTGATATAAAACAAAGTCTCAGATTTAAAATGATGTGCATTTTATTACAATATTCAAACAATAAATGCCGTTTTGGCGCTGTTTAATGTGGAGTGACAGATCGCGGTAGCGCCTCAGTTCAGCGCGAAATAAACATGAATAAATGTCTGAAGATATGTTAAAAGAAAGAGCACATCTTACCGAAATCTGTATCCTATCTCATGTAATTGCTCAATCAAGCTCAAGCTTGTAAACAATGTCACAAAAAACATATTCTGTGACCATAAACTCAGTCAGCTAGAAAAATGAACTCTAAAGAGGAGCATTTTTCTAAATAGGTATGTGCACTGTAGAACATAGTTTTTTAATGTTTCATTTATGTTAAAATAAATCCATTCAGATTTTATGACAGCCACCATTAAAATGTTTCTATTAAAAAAAAAGCGAATGAATTGGAGTAGAAACATATTTACCTAATTGTGACTTAATTATTATGAAAACTTCACTGAGTGTAATTTAAGCCCTGTATATAAAAATCAGTTCATTTGACTGACTCTCATGTATATTTTACAGCATTAGTTTGGCATGCACTATACCTGATGTATATCTAAAATAATCGAATCGAATCGGAAATCGAATCGAATCGAATCGTGAAATTTGTAGCAAAACTCAGCCCTATGAAAAATATGATTCTACCTATTGTTTAATCCCCACTCATGTTTTTATATCGGTGTTACCTGACACTAGTACTTCTAAAGAAAGGTTGTTGTTAATTATAACCAAAGCACAGGATTAAAGTGAGATTTGAGGCAAGAGTATATGGTTTTACTCTAACTTATTATTATGTGCCTCCTGTCTAATTAAATTCTGGTTATGTGGTTTTGAAGTCAAACAAAGTCAAAGGGCTTTTGGAGAACGCGGCTGTGGAAATCACTACTAATTGTCTATTTCTCCAGCTAAATACACATGACAGCAATTAAACTGTACTGTGCTAACCATGTGTGATGCAATAAAGTTACACGCAATAAAACCAATCTGTTCCATGCTAGTTTTATCCTAACCAGCAGTGACAAGCCACAAAATATGTTGTTGCCCTCTGCTCCTCTGAATATTAAAGTGGCAAAAAAAGGCCCAAAATCCATTTTGTTCTGAATTTTGCTTTCAGTGAAAACAGAAAAATGACTTTTTATTATGACACAGTCTGACTCTGTGCACACGTACAACAAACACACGCTTACTCCTGCGCCTCTTCTCCATGCGCTTCTGTCTCTTCTCCTCTCTCAGTCTGGCCTCCTCTTCCTCTTGGTCTTGTCTACACTTGTGGAAGTTCTCGACCACCACACCTACAAACATGTTCAGCACGAAGAAGCTGACGATCAGCAGGAAGGAGATGAAGTACAGAAGCATCCAGGGATTATGATTCCTTTTGGGCTACAAAGAGAGAAGAAAGAAAACAGAGAAATCATGTAGTCTTAAGGTGGTGACTTTGTTCAGTTAAAGAGGTGTAATTTTCATAAGGAAATATTTATGTGTACATGTGATCAACACAGTAACGTATACTAAGAATACAAACTTTATTTGCTATATTGCACATATTTCTCCTACCATTCGTTTGTGGAAATGCTGGATACTCACTCTTGGCATTTATTTAGCTGAATTTAGAGTATTTCTGCACATTAATTTAATCTTAATTCACTAATTAAGGGCTGTGAAAACACCTTGCAGTGAACTGAAAAATGCAGGTCATATGGCTTTTTGTTTTTTACATTAATTTATGTTCGTTTTGATGCTGCTCCTGTCTCCAAAAGCATATTTCTTCAAATCCACTCACATAGTATTCATAGTTAGTTTGGTAATGCTAAAGTATGTGCCAATGTAAATGAATAATATTCAGATATTCAGAATAATATGCCAGTAGTCTTAGTTAAACACTAATTAAACTTTAAGAATAAACTACTGAAATGTTGTAAAAAAAAAAAAATTAAAAAAAATTCAATTCAATATACACTAATGTTTAAATAATTGGGGTCGGTAAGATTTTTTAAAATGTTTTTGAAAGAAGTCTCTTATGCTCACAAAGACTGCATTCATTTAATCAAAAATACCATAAAAACTGTGAACATTTTGAAATAATATTACAATTTAAAATACCTTTTAATTTCATTTATTTTAAAGTTTATTCCTGTGATGGCAAAGCTGAAATTTCAGCATCATTACTCCAGTCTTCAGTGTCACATGATCCTTCCTAATGTCTATTATAACAGTTGTGCTGCTTAGTATTTTTGTGGAAAATTATACATTTTTTCAGGACTTTTTGGATGAATGGAAAGTTTAAAAGAACAGCATTTATTTGAAAAAAAGAGAAAAATCTAACATTATAAATAAGCTTACTTTTACCTTTGATCTATTTAATGCATCATTGTTAAATGAAAGTATTATTTCTTTCAAAATAAATAAATAAACAAACAAACAAACAAATATTTTACTTGCCCCAAAATTTCAAACAGTAATTTAATTCCAGAGACAAAGGAGCCCATCAGTAAGAAAGCAAAGACAGGGAATGTGACAGGAAGAAAGTGCAGAATGGAATGGAAACTCTGTACTTGTCTTATTGTACATGCAACACAATTGGTATTTGTCACTACAGAAAAGATGGGCCACTGTAAAGGACACTATATAAACCAGTTGTGTTGAGTCTGTTACTGCCCATGGACTCAGTGTTTCTGTGTATGTGTGTGTAAGAGAGAGTATATAAGACCTCTCAGTGGAATTAAATGATGAATGTTCTGACTCTCCTCCTCAACCTGCTCATTCTGGTGTCCTCCACTGTATTTTTATCTATCTCTCCCTTTTTTCTTCAGTTCAGAGCTGAATTAATCAAACACTCGCTTTACCTAAAAACCTGCTGCTGCCTTTTGTGATTGTGTCACTTGAGCTTCAGGAAAGAAAAAAAGCAGTAAACACTTCTGTCGCCTGTGTTTTCTTTTGTTATAACGGACAGATTCAGAGTAAGGTTTAAGTGTTTCCACACTCAGTAGAGTTATCTGAAGAATGCACACACACACACACACACACACACCTGTTGGTCCACAGCCACGGCATCTAAGCCATCATACATGATGCTGACCCAGCCATCTTTAGATGACAAGACGAATAATGACATCAGTGCCTGCAAAACAGACATAAAATGGATTAATGTGAACAAGAGAATATTTTACAGAATTACTCTATCACTGTCAACAATATGAATATCTGTAAAATACTGAAGGGAAGGTGAGATGAACACATTTTTAGCTCAGTTGGGAACAACTGCACAGAGAGAAAAAAAAAATCCTGTATATAAAGTTATAAAGTTTTCTTCATGAACTGTATTGTTTACGATCAATAAGATTTTTTGTTATTGAAAGAAGAATGAAAGAATAGCATCTCTTATGCCTATCTATCAAAAATAAAATATTTATCAAAAATACAATAAAAGTAGTAATATTGTAAAATACTATTACAGTTTGAAGATCTTTTCTATTTTAATATATTTTAAAAAGCAATTTACTCCTGCGATCCCAGCCATTACTCCAGTCCTCAGTGTCACATGACCCTTCAGAAATTATTCTAATATGCTTATTTGCTGCTCAAGAAACATTTAATATTGAAAACAGTTGTACTGCACAATATTTTTTATTTATTTTTAGGATTTTTTGATGAATACAAAGTTCAAAAGAATAGCATTTTTAAAAAATGTAACAATGTAAAATAATGTTGAATAAAAGTATTATATATATATATATAAATATA